GATTATTATTATTTTTAAAGCAGATTAATGCAGAAATGGGAAAGCACAGATACCAATGATCTCAATCCATTTTTGGCTTCAGGTCTGGTTTGGGGATCAAACCGGCCTTGGTTGTCCTGCTGGACTACCTAGTAGAGGGCTGGTAGAGTGTGACCATCTGAATCAGGTGGTGCTATGAAAGTCCTGGATCAGTGTTTGGGGTTGGTGATGGACTGAATGAGAACCAATAAACTGAAGCTGGATCCCAGTAAGTGGGAGGGGGATAAATTGGAAAAACCATTCTTCCCCACAATCAGTACCTGACTTTGCCTTCCTAAATAGATACATACAAAAGCCTGAGCAAAACACCAGTTTGTATTCTGCTCTAATATAAACTGTCATGGATTTTTCACAAGTGCATTTTTATAGGGAAAACATACATTCTGCTTTCCCATGAATCTAAAAAGTCACTTTTGGAGAACCGATGGAGCTAATTTGAAAGGCTCTAATGGGCACTTAGTGATAATCCATATATCCATTCCTCTAGTTTCTCCGTTTTAATTCTTGTTACCCTCCACCCTCGCTATTTCTTTTTACAGATGCGAGCATTTCATTTCTTAATCCTCAGATTGTAATGGGTTTTATATTTAGTTTTCCATGCTGCTACCTCTGCAGGGTCGGTATTTGCTAGAACAGCATAAACGGAGTGTGTGTGAAAAAAGACAGTTTATTAAACATGATCTGCTCACAGCAGAGATGCAGTTTGAGTTAGGAAGACTTGTAGCTAAGCAGTAGAGCATTTGCTTTGCATGCAGAAGGTCCCAGATTCAATATCTGGCATCTCTAGGTTAGGCAAGGAAAGACCCATGTCTGTATTTCTGGAGAACCATTGTCAGTCAGCATATAACTAGATGGATGGATAAGGTAACTTCCTATGTTCCAAGTTCCCCCTTTGGATTCTAGTGGCCTCAATACTGTTCAGGCCCTATGATTAAATGAACAGGGTATGCTGGAAGGAAACTTAATGGTGTGGGGAGGCTAATAAAGTCCATATGCTACGGGAGCCTCTGAAGCTCTGTACAATTTAATAGACAACACTGTCGTGTTACACATCAGCGGTAATTTTTAAAGAGGCCATTGGGACTGTGCATAAAGGAAGGGAAATCAAGGAAGAGATTGTGAAAGAACTATTATGTGTGAGAGGTTCAAGGCTTGGGTTGTTTCAGAGAAGGGATGGAAAGAGGCAGAGGGGCCCATCCTGTTCAGTCCTGTTTCTTTTCCTCCACAGATTGACTTCCACTAAAACCCACATTGTTCATCTTGCTATCGGCTATGACTGAAACCAACACGATTATTCTCCATGCATTTCAAAGGAAGGGGAGCATCGAAAACAAAGCAGGGAGGAAAACAACACAATTATTTATATAATGTTTGCAGACTAAAAACAACCATGACAATAGTTGAATACTGCTCAAATTTGCTTGTGTGATTTCCATTCCTGACCTCAAGACAGGCCTGCAAATTGCAGCAATATATGCTCCCATTTCTGACATAATTTCCAAAACATCCCTATTTCAGAGTAATAAGAAGCAAGCTTTTGGAGCTCACAGAAACAGGGAGACAGAAGCAAGAGCAACTACAGGCAACATCAGGGAGACGAGAAAGAGCATACAGTGGTGCCTCGCAAGACGAAAAGAATCCGTTCCGCGATTCTCTTCGTCTTGCAGTTTTTTCGTCTTGCGAAGCAAGCCCATTAGCGACTTAGAGGATTAGCGCTATTAGCGGCTTAGCGGGTTTAGCGGATCAGCTGATAAGCGGCTTAGCGGATCAACTGTTAAGCGGCTTAGCGGATCAGCTGGTAAGCGGCTTAGCGATCAGCTGTTAAGCAGCTTAGCGGATCAGCTGATAAGCGGCTTAGCGACCAGCTGTTAAGCGGCTTAGCGGATCGGCTGATAAGCGGCTTAGCGATCAGCTGTTAAGCGGCTTAGCGGCTTAGCGGATCAGCTGTTAAGCGGCTTAGCGGATCAGCTGATAAGCGGCTTAGCGGCTTGGGGAAAAGGGGGGGGAACCCTGCAGGAACTCGCAAGACATTTTCATCTTGCAAAGCAAGCCCATAGGAAATTCGTTTTGCAAAGCACCTCTAAAACGGAAAAACCTTTTGTCTAGCGGGTTTTCCGTCTTGAGAGGCATTCGTCTTGCGGGGCACCACTGTATTGCATATTTCCTGTTCAGATCATGAAGGGCTTGGTGAGTCACTTCCAGCCCATGATTCTGGTTGAGGGCAGGCTTGAGGTTGGTGAAGCAGTGCCCTGTTTGGTACACTCATGGACTAGCTTTCACTGCTCCCTAGGACAATCTGTTGGAGACTGCAGAGCCAACAGCAGATGGGGAGAAAAGCGCTGTAGATTAACTAACACAGAAAAAGATTGCCCTGCTTCAGTTTTAACTTTAGCCACCTCCAGATTACTAGTCCAGCGCTGAGGGCCTTCTGGAGGTTCCTTCACTACGAGAAGTGAGGTTACAAGGAACCAGGCAGAGGGCCTTCTCGGTAGTGGCGCCTGCTCCCATCAGATGTCAAGGAAATAAGCAACTATCTTACTTTTAAAAGACATCTGAAGGCAGCCCTGTTTAGGGAAGTTTTTAATGTTTAATGCTGTATTGTGTTCTTAATATTCAGTTGGGAGCTGTCCAGAGTGGCTGGGGAAACCCAGCCAGATGGGCGAGGTATAAACAATTTATTAGTTGTTGTTGTTGTTGTTGTTGTTGTTGTTGTTGTTGTTGTTGTTGTTGTTGTTGTTGTTGTTGTATTACTAGTCTCAATCCTTTGCAGGTCTACCCAGTAGTATGTCTCATTTCACAAATAAGTATGCTGGGGATTAAAAAGAAATGCAATAGACCAGCACAGCTGCTGTCTTGGAAAGCAGTTAAAAACCATTTCTTACTTTGGTGTACTAAATACACACAAACAGGAGCCAGAGAGGCAAGGAACTGAAGCAAGGGAGAAATGAATGAACCACTTTGGAAGGTGTCAGGGGCCACATAAAATGAGGCTGGGGCCACAGGTTCCTCATACTGAGCAGGGAACCTTCTTCAGCTTGAGGGTCACATTGCTTCTGGAGTTGCAAACCAATGGTGGGTGTGGCCAAGGACACTCCAATCACCACCCTCCAAGCAAGCAAGCATCACCATTCAACAACACATTACAGCAAGGCAAAATCACTAGAAGAGGGTGCAAAATCTTGGGGATCAGGTAGAGATGACTGGAGGTGTGTGGTGGGGGGTTGCGTTCAGTCTGAGATTCTTCAGCCCTGGGCTAGAGGATCAAATCCAGCAAGGCCGTCTTTACAGACTTAAAGAACTTCCATCTGCAATAAGCTCTAGCAATGAGACCAAAGGAAAACAGATATGTCAGGCAGAGCTGCTGAAGCTCCGCTTTATATATAAGAAAATCAATTGAAAAGGATCAACAAAAGCAGCTTTGCGGGGGAAGTGAAAACTGCTGTTTAAGAGAAATCCTTCTCCTTTAAGTCTCAGCACACACATACACATTCTCCTTCCAGAGCGCAGCATCTTTACCTGGACAAACAATGGCAGATTTGGGCATCTGAGGAGGGGAAAATTATTCCTTGCCTCCCCCCCCCAAACCCTCAGCATCTCTGTTGGTGCCAGCAACACTTTTAGATTCTGCTGACACCAGGGAATTGGCTTGTTTTGAGGCAATCTGTGCACTTCAGAAGCCACACACACACACACATTCACCTACCACAAAAGTCCGAATTCCCAGCAGCGTTGTGAAGTACGCAACAAGACATTTGAATAGCACTGCACATTGCCAGCGTTGCTTTAATCTTCCCCCATTCAATTATAAAATAGGTCAGGGCCAAAATGCAGAGACAGGCTTCAGAGGCAGCCCTTGTATGCCTGGTGGCAGATTTCCTACCCACCCACCCCCCGCACCCCACCAGATGCAGAGCCTATCATCCTAAGAGCACAAATTGGTACAGGCTAAGCACAGCGGCTACACTTCAGAGGAACAGATGGTCCTTGTGTTCCGGACGCCCTCGTAACAAATAGGAAATATGCAGCAGTTCTGATGATGGATGCAAGGCCACCATAGCAAGCGTTGGGCTTCTAGGGACAGAGGTTCCCAAGCCCTTTTTACCCTGAGCACAAATAGGCACAACCACTGGATTGTTCAGCCAGCAGGGCAATTCCTTTTGGATGCCCCAGTTGGGAACAGTCTGAGGCCTCACTGTCCACCATGTGGCCAGCTGGATCCTTGAGCACCTTCGCAGCACCTTTGTCCCGCTGGGCTTTGGCTCAGGTGGAACGCCAGTCAGGCCTTCTCTGCACCACATTTCCCCTTCCTGCTCTGAATTCTGAAGCCTCTCTGACAGCTTCTGTCTCTCCATGTCATGGGACCTCCCTGAAGATCTTGCATGACTTTGCTGCCCTAGATGCCAGAGCAGGAGAAAGGAGGATGAGGAGCAGAAGCAGGCTGGAAGGCAGGCACCCAGGAGTGGAGGAGATCCTTCCCCTTGTGATTCTGGATGTTACAAGCATCCCTGTTGCTGGAGCCCACAGGAGGGGAGAGCGCTCCTGCTTTTCAGAGGTGGAAAGCCCAATCATTGTTAGCGTGGTTCATTCCCTCAACAGTTCTCCAAGTTCTGACAAATCAGGAACCTGCAAACCCCATCTTGACACTTGGTGCTATGCAAAAAATTGATGGTAATTCTAGAAACTAACCACCTCCCAGGGGGGCACTGTTAAGCCTAGAGAATGAAGGTCGCACCTTCTGTGGCCACTTTGTGACTCGCATGCCAGTAACATACAATAAACATGAAAGTGAGGACATCTGGTGGTAGAAATGATGAAGAAAAACAAGTCTGCCAGGGCTGCAGCCATAAAAAGAGCCCAACAGGAAAAGGAGCTGTCTGTTCAGTGTTTATATTGCTGTTTATCGCCCCCGAGTGCCTGCAGTCTGCCTTGTAGAGATGTGACTGCGAATGGAGTGCCCTTACCTTGAACATCTGCTTGACTTTCTGCCGGGGTAGGTTGACGTTCAGCTTATGCATCAGCTGGAGCACCTCGTTGATGCTCAGGCTGCCATCGCCATTTTTGTCCGCTTCGTCGAAGGTTTGCTTCAACCACATTTAGCAGGAGTCAAGGAAAAGAGAAGAGACAACTCTGCCACGGCAAGCAAAGAGGAGAAGGGAATGAAGGCTGCTTCCCGGGGACTACAGAAATAAAGGGATTCAAAAGCCACAGAGCACTTAAATCAGGAAGAAACAAAATCACGGAAGGCCATCTGATCAAGCTTTCTGCCACAAGATGGGGCCATCCATTCAGTGGGCATGACAAGCAAACTGTTGCTGTTTGACCACTGCTCCATTTTGCCTAGTGCTGCTTGGGGAGGCTCCCCAAGACCTTGGACAGAGGGAGGTCCTTCCTAGCTTAGCTACCTGGGAAAAGATTTACCCGATAGTGTTAGGATTTGGGACTTTCTAAAGTAGCAGTATATGACAGTACTTCTACTGCCATGAAGTAATGGTCCTTCTTCACTAATGCAACATATTGTGGGCTTTGGTGGATATAAAATATAAAAACTTTTTTTTGAGGGGAGGGGTTCAAAGGAAGAACATGCTTGACTGCCCGCGTTAGACACCCCACAAGGTCAGTGTCAGGGTTTGGCATTGCTGGACGTCTGCCAAGGCCAAAGCCCCAACCAGGGGCCCACTGCAAAAAACCACAACCCTACGCCCTTCTGCTCTTGTCTGTGCCCTGAGGTTGCTGCTGCTGCTGCTGTTTATGATGATGATGATGACATTCCTTAATCCCATTATAAAATACAGGCAGATAAAACCAAATGAAGAAGCAGCGTGTGCAATACAGAATTCCTAAAATGCTCCTCCAACAATACAATGAGCTGTGACCAATGTTAGTCCCACTCAGAGTAGACTCTTTGAAATTAACAGAAATAGCTAACTTAGGTCCATTTGTGTCAATGGGTCTACTGTGACCAGGACTTAGTTGGCAGTGACCTAATGTCACTCTCTGCTCACCTGTGCTGTTGGCAGTGACAGGAATGTGGAAAGGAAGCAACATCTTTCCCTTGCTTGGCCTTTTTTCCTCTGGGTGATGGTGTGGGTTAGGCAAATGGGTAGGGGAAACAGAAGTGAGGATGAAGGGGGCGGCTACTGAAGAACCCGTGTTCAAGGTGCCCATCAAAACTGCATGACCAACAGTGCATCACCCCCCTGCCCTCCACTGAAGGATACTGGTCTCTAGTCCTCTGACGCTTTGACAGGCTGTCTTCATCGCTAATCCCAGCCATCAAGTACTTCAGGCCAGTGATCCACGTCCGAGCTTCCCCTGCGCTGGATGACACCAAGTCAAGAGACTCCATGTGGTCTCCGTAGTAGATACTGAAGCAGCAGTTGGGGTCAAAACTGCCATCCGCATAGCGCTGGAAGATCTCCGACTGTTTTCCTTCACAGACCTCCTGGATCGAATCGATAGAGACTGGGGAAAAATAAAATAAGGCAAGGAGGTGAGGGGGTGGGCTGGGCAATCATGCAAAAGGTTGGAATAAAGACTCACTCTTGAATAAAGAAACTATTTCCATCCCACATTTAATACCTGGTCTGAGTTTGATTTTTATCTCCCCCCCCAACCTGATTTGGGGCCATTTGGCAGACTGTGGTACATGACTGCAAGGCTGCTGAGCATTCAATTATCATTTGGAAACCCAAGGATTGTGTTACTCAGGGCCCCTGCCCCATATTACATGTTGTATGGGCAATCTATCCAGAAGATAAATTGTAGATTGAGGAGTTAGTGATCTGACATGGTTGCCCTCTTCCTGCCTCTGTTCCTTCCCCTTCTCCTTGTCTCTTAAGTTCTTTGATGGCATGAGAACAGCCTATAATGTCCTAATCAGTTAGGAAGAAGAGATAGTGATGAGTACCCCCTTGGATGTTGGACATTGTTTTGAGAAAGAGAGGCATGGGGGGGGGGCTAATGAATAATCTGCATGTAGCCAGTAATGAATGATCTGCAAGTAGCCAGTCAGGCAAGCCACACGGGCTAGCTAGCTATAAATCAGTTGGTTGTGGACAGAATTTTTGGGAGAAGCTCATGCACGGGCTGATTGGCCGTGGGGTCGTGCAAACTAAAGTCTACCTGGGGGAGTCACTTCACCACTTCTTGGGGGCTTCCAAGTGGCAGATCGAAGTGCTTGCTGCGTATGTATATATTGCTTGCTGTTTAGAATAAAAATCTTTAATCTTCTCACCCACTTGTGTTTTGTATTACTTCTGAATCTCATTTTAAAAGAACCACCTTGCATTTTGCAAGACCCATGTTAAGTTGTTTTATGCGCACAGCTGAACGTGTGGATGCGCCCCCTGCAGCAGGGAATCCAGACTGGATGTGCAATCCTGCTTGGTGAATGCCCAGAGAGAAACATCACTGTGCTCTGTAATGCTCGTTTCAGGGACATCTTGAAATAGTCCTTGTATAATTAAAATTGTTGTAAGAAAAAGATGCTCCCCTTTCCCTTATGGGGTATTCAAGAGCCCGTATAGTCCTTATGTAGGTTCTCTATCGGTAGGAGAAAATAACAGAGGCCAGAGAATATTGAGAAGCAAAGCAGCTAGTAAGCCTGATCTTCATTAAACTGTTGCAACAGGCTCCCCCACTCACCCCATGCAGGGATGGAGAGGAACCCAGAACATAGACTTCTATAGACACTTGAAATTGCATACCCTGTAGCTCAAGACCACCACCCCCCAAAAAAACATCACACATACACCACAGAAAGAGGTGGTCCCCAGCAGAAATTTGAGCATGTTGCTTCTCTCCTGTCTGCCAGGATACCTGATAATGCCTTATCTGATTGCCTTTTCTGGGTAGCCTGGCCATTCCTTTGAGATGGTAAATACTTCCTGAATCTCTTACGGATATTGATAGTGTGCTCAGCTTAACAGGTACTTGCCAGACTGTATTTACAGCGAGGTGTAAGCCCCTACGGTCCAAAGACAACTGAAAAGCTTTCCCCATTTCCTTCCTCCTTGCAGAGAAATATTTGAGGTCAATTTGGGAGAGTCAAAATGGCTTCAGGATTGTTCTCCTGTACTGTACTATTTCAGGCACTTGGTTTATATACTTATGTATGTGTTTGCCTTGTACACTTATGAATGTTTATTTGATATATATATAAGACTGTAGAATTCCTATAACAAAATGCTTTCACAGAAATGTGAGTGGAGTGGCAGCCCCCTCCATAGTGCACCGCACACTTACTTTTGGCTTTCTCGTTCTTTCGCGAGGGCCTCCAGCGGATGCATGACTTGTGCTCGTCCAGGTAGTAGAAGCGAACAAGACCTTTGGAACTGCCTCGGAGTTTGATCATCTGAGTACCAGCTTGCATGGAACTCATACATTTTTCCACTATACAAAGAGAGAAAATGAGAGAGAAAGAAATGATAATTAATTAATTGAATTGAATTTATATTCCTAGGATCACAGGACAATTTACAGTATAAAAACCACACCAAAAATGCATAAGATAACACTTAAACTACAACAACCCAGCCATCCAGTTGTTGTTGTTGTTTTAAAAAGAACGCATTGCCAAAGTGCATTGAAGGCAATACAATGTTTATGTGTGATCATGGTTAAGGGAAGAAGGAGGAAGTAGCTGCAAAAAAAAAAAAAAAAAAAAAAGTGTAGAAGTCTGGTCCTATGAATCACCCCATGGGCCACATGAATTATTGTAAGCATTCTGGTAACCGTATAGAAATTGAGAAAGACACACCAGGGCAAATTGCTTTAGAACTTTTCTTTTTTAGTACAGAAGGGAAAGCATTAAAAATTAACAGCAACATGGTTCCATAGCACACTGGATCCTGACTGCATCTCAGTGTGAGACAGCCAGCTGCTGAAAAGAATTCCAGACTAGGAAGATGGAAGACTTATGCAGATTCTGGGCAAGAACTGCATATTAAAGCGCTGGAACAAGAAACACAAAACTAGTTCTGCCTATGGCTTTAAATGTGGTAGGACAAAGACTGGCAGATGCACAAAAGATAAACACTAGAAGCATCAACCACCCAAAGGTGGTTTTATCCATGTTTAGTGGAAATGTATCCTACTCTTGGGAAGAAAAGCAATTTGGTGATTTACCAGTGCATTAGTCTATAGCTTGTCTTATGATCCATTAAGAATGCAATTGAGCAGCCTATTCAAAAACAGCAAATAAAATTGTGAGAGGGCTGCACAGTGCCCCCAACAAGGAGTGCCCCACCACTAATTTGTTCAACTTTCAACATACCTCACTTTCATTGTACTTATAGCCTGTTCCATACCTTTGATGCACCATCTGCATTCATTATTTTTTCTTGTCCAATAAGATGATAACAATTTGCATGCTTGGATTTGCATGACATTCACATTCACTTACTGGAAGATAGATAGGAAACTGCCTTATAACCATTCAGACCACTGTTCCATCTTGCTCTGCCCTGCTTATACTGGTTGGTGGCAGCTCTCCAGGGTTTAAGACCAGGGTTTCCCAAACTTGGGTCTCCAGCTGTTTTGGACTACAACTCCCATCATCCCTAGCTAGCAGGACCAGTGGTCAGGGATTATGGGAATTGTAGTCCAAAACATCTGGAGACCTAAGTTTGGGAAACACCACTTTAGATCATGAAACCTTCTGCATGCAAGCTCTATAGCTGAGCTATAGCTCCTCCTCCATTGCATATATCATTTGTCAAATGTGAATTAATGTAGTAGGTAGGTAGTAATTTTATTTTTTTCATTATAAGCCGCAGCAATGCAGAAAGAACCTTCAGAGCCAAGACACAAATTTAGCTTATAATTCTCTGGCCACCAGCACAAATAAAGAAACAGGCAGGGGCAGAGTTTTCTACTTAAGTCCTCCTTCCATGGTCAACACTGAGACTATGAAGAAGGGAGCTGACAGGCCAGGCTGAGATCAATGGGGCAGTGCGCCATTTCCACTGCCTCCAACACATAGAGGGTAGTGGGACCACAATCATGCTCTTCCCACATCACACAAGCCTTTTAGTGCCCAAGTAAGGCTTCTGTTCCTCGGGGGAATTATCAGTTACTACGGAATTAGCTGCAAAGACATCAACTGCAAAGAACGGGTCCATCTCTAATCCTCCAGATTTGAGATTTGGGGCTTGGCATTCATGGCTAAACTGCCTGAATACATGACTGACAGTACGATAGAAAACTATGCAATTGAGGTTTCCCTCCTCCCCGAAGCTCTGAACTCTGCTTCTCACTGTCAGGAGTCATTGTTATAAGGTGGGCATTGATTCAGATAACACTTTCCCACTGCTATTAATGCTTTGCGCACGGAATAAAAAGCAGAAAAAGGTGGCAGGACAAGTGGATCAAGAGGGCAAAGATACCTTAACAACACTTTCCAAATTGCTTTGTTCAGCACGATTGAGCAATGCCACTAGTCACTCATTCCAAAGTAGCCATTACTGCTTTTTGGTAATTTGCTCACACTGTAAGCCCCCATTAGAAGTTCCTCCACTTTCCTTTCTTATTACTGGCATCATCACACAACAGCCAAGATTCCCAGATGTCGGGACTGAGATGCAGGCAGCTGTCAGAGGTAAGGTGGGAGTTAATCCAGGGAGTCCAAAGAACACAGGAAGCAGCCCTGTACAGAGTCAGAACACTGATTCATCCAGCTCAGTTAATATCTGCACCAACTTGCAACAGCTCTGCAGGGTTTCAGGCAGTGGGTCTTCTCAGCCCTACCTAGGGCTGGGAATAGAACCTAGGACTTTCTGCATGCAAAGCAGATGACCTGCCATTGAGCTGCAGACCTGCCATGGACTGGTTGGATGCAGAGGGATGGTTGGAGGAACCAGCTGGGGAACCCCCAAAGGAAGAAGGCTGAGCCCAAGGAGTGGTAGTGGGATGGCGATGAGTGGGCAGAGAAAGAAGAGGGAGAAGACTGGGAAGAGTTGTCAGAAGTTGAAGAGGTAATGGGGCTTAGTGAGCTGGGAGAGTTGGTGGTCCAGAATCAGAGGCAGAAGCTGAAGCAGAGAAGGGAGGTCAACAGGCAGAGATGAGTCAGCTGGCGAAGAGTCACAGGTGTCTTCCCATCCTGCTGTGGCAAGCTACCCTCCCCGCTTGTCTCCCAGAACCAGAAGAGAGCTGAAAGGGTGGAGCAACAGCAGGCTGCATGCAGGCACAGTCTCTGATTGCTTGGAAAAAGCCCTGGAGAGGCAGGGACTTTCAGTATTGGGGTAAGCCCTACCAGGGATGAGATGCTGTGCTCATTAACCTTGCCACTCAGCCAAGTCTGTGAAGATCATATTTTTGCTAATAAAGAGTTAAATCCAACTTTGAACGGTGTGATTTACTGCCAGCCCACTCTTTGACAAGACCTTTCCCAAACAGGTTAGAAGCACACTTGAGCCAAAGAGATCTTCTGGATGAGCCAGGTCCCTACCTGAACAGGTTGTATTTTATAGGCCTTCCTCTCCAGGAGGGCCCAATGGCTTCTGGTTTGTGTATCAACCCTGCCTCTTTATGGAAGGGCTGTGGCTCACTGGTTCCTGGTTCACCTCGGACAGCTGCCCACAGCCCAGCACTACCTGGCCCCAGCTCATATTACGCTTTTAGTCAATGCCACATTTTAAAATGAAAGTGAATTGGCCCATTAAAAAGGACATGATATGCTTCTAACATGCCAGTGCTCCAGATGAGGCTTGGCAAGGATAAAAGCCACCTGTGGTCAATAAAGAACTCTTTTGCTATTGATCCTTAGCTGGGCCTCCTTGCATCTCCATCAGCCTCACGGTGCAAGAACAGAGAAGAATGAAAGCAAAGGCAGGCCAGAAGAATAGCAAAATGCAGCCATGCTGGTGGTGTTCACAAAAAGCATTACAGGAGCATTCATCCAAGGTGTACATGACACTGATTTCTTAAAGGTTTATTAGCTATGTGTGTCCCGGAACAAAAAACGATGCACTGTTAAAGCAACAGCCTTCAGAAACATCTTATTGATAGAACTTGCTAACCCACTGGACCAACAGCTCACCCCAGCATCCATCAGAGAGCAAATCAGAGATGCTACGAAGATCCACAATTTTGGTTCCTGAAGCAAGGGCTATGCATCAGCTGCTCTGATGAGGTTATCAGAACATAGAGCTATGTCATGCTTGCTATTGTGAAGGTACTAATTCATTTCACTCCCTTGTCTATTTGCTGAAATCAGCTCAATAGGAGGCTAAGTCATATTTTTCTAGGGAAAATAGTTTACAGTGGGTTTTTTTTTTACCCCCACTCTTCAAAAAGGAGGAAGAGGAGGAGGAGGAGGAGGAGGAGAGAGAGGGGGGGAGGGAGGGAGGGAGGGGGAGAAAGTTCTAAAAATGTCACAATCAACAGTAATAGGATGATATTGTTTGCTGGATCAAAGCAACAGCAAATACTGGTTGCATCTGCATTCTGAACATGAGATGGGGAAGGGAACATCAGCAATTTCTGCTCCTATTTCTGTTTCCATTTCTCCAACCTCCCTGCCTATGACTCTATTGTAAATTAAATAATAAAAACATCATAGGGTACTGATTTATCTTTACACCAAATCTGATCTTTGTTTTGTTAGCATTTTCACTGTTACAAGAGAACATTGAAATATTTCATTTATTAGCCACTAATATTTCACATTGTTTCTAATTTACATTGTTAAATTTGATAGAACAGTTAATGGAAGGGGAAAGATATTCACAGATATTAAGCTGACCAGATTGGGTCAAGTTCCTCTCCTGCCCTCGCCCCTGGTGATAACTACAACGCAGCTGAGTTGACTTTGTTTCTGAATACTGGTAGCTTAAACAGCACTGAGCAACTGGTTGCTTTTCACTGGAAGAATAAGGCACGCATTGCAGAAGGGACTGTCTGTCAGTGCCTGGTACTGTCCACCCAACATCCGTCCTTGGCCAAGACGAGACACAAAACACACACATAGTGTCATCACTGCTGCAGGCTGTTTACAAAAACTACATTTTCCCTTTGAGCAACCCCTATACCAGAAGGAAGGAGGCAGACTCTGCATAGCCCTCAAGGCTGCATATCACACTTTCTCCTCTCTGTGCTACAGTGAACTGGTTTACGCATGCAGGATCGCCATGCAGCAGTGATGCCTTTTCCCCACCCAGCGGGGCAGAAGGCAAGGGAGACCAACAACAGGTGGCACCAGAGCCAATGGCAGGCAGAGCCAACATTCTAGTTTTGCCCCATCTGCCTCCTCCCTGCTGAGTTCTACAGTGGCCAACACTAAGAGGGAGGAAGCTGATATGCAATGCTGCCGCCTCGAGCAGTTGCAAGAAGGTAGGCAGGTGGGGGCTGGCTGAGGGCAGGCTGAGATGAGTGGGGCACCGTCCCACCTGCAA